GCCCTATTCAAAGGCTCGCCTGGTGATATAAGTTAGAACAACTCGTAATTTTTAATCTTTACAAAACCGCTTGAAAAATTGCGTTTTTGACGGGCAATTGTGCTAATAATGAGCAATTAATGAGTAATTTCTCATTTTTCACAGCAGCTCTGGGAAAATCGCGCAGTTCCTGCAAAACCGATATGAAATGCACGAAATTTGTTTTGATTTTAAGAAACCGCTGGAAATATCCCGTCATTTACGCCGTATGGAAATGAAATTGGCATAACTTCTCCAACTGTTTGAAAACGCGGAAATCAACTGAGCAACTATTCGAAATCCAGTGTAGGTATGTGGAATCACGCGAAATTGAAGGAAATCGTAGCTTTTTGGCTTTTATGAATATTATGTGCTCTCATTTATGTAAAAGACGCTTAGTTTCCCGTGATTTTGATGTGAAAATTGTGTGATTCTTCGTGTTCTCAATCAATAATTTGGAATACTTCAAAATGAGCGGTATTAGAGTCTCAAAGGGTCTCGAAGAATCACTCGATAACCACCGCAATCGCCCGTCAAAAACGCGATTTTTCAAGCGGTTTTGTAAAAATTAAAATTTACGAGTTGTTCACCTCAATATTGCGAGACCGACGCAAATTTTTCAATTATTGATTAAGAACACCATCGATCGTACAATTTTCCCATCAAAATCGTGGAAAACGAGTGTCTTTGACATAAATGCGAGCATAATATTCATAATAGCCAGCATCTTGGGATAGGCGAAAATCTATAATTTCCCTTCAATTTCGCGTGATACCACATACCTACTCAGAGTTCGAAGAGTTGCTCGCTTGACTTCCGCGCGTGAAAGAGTGAAAAGCGAAATCGCCCGATTTTCCCAGCAATTGTCTAAAAATTACGTAGTGTACACCATAATATCGGGGATAATACGGAATTTTTCCAACTGTCGATTGTCAATACGAAGATAGTCACATAAACTTCGACTCAACATCGCGCAAAATACGCGCGTTTTTCCAGCGCCCCACGGTGGATCGAGTCAATGGTAGAGGTTGGTCATGAGCGACGAAAAAAAAGTCGGATTTTAAATACTTTTTCTTGGTTTTCTAGTAGTTAAGCTTCCAAAATGAATGTATCCATGGTTCTAGGGTCTTTGAACCCTTCCGCTTTGACATGCGGGTTGCCTAAAGCTGACTTTGCAGGTGGTATCAAATTTACCGTCTGATTCTCAAGGTTTTATTTCGCTTTTGCATGAGTTCTGTGGCAGATGAATCAAAATTTCAATTAAACATGCTTATTCTCCTCCCTTTAAGAAACATTTTGGTATATCATTAATGTGCATTGGCTTATTTTTAGGAGGATCAAAACCACCTCCAAAACTTGCTTTCAAAAAACGCTCAAAAAAATGTTAAGATAGCTCGATAAAAAAATGTCCTTAAGTGTCCACAAAATCCTTTGTTGGGTTGCCTCTAGTACACTATCAGGAATGATATTATGTAATAATTAGCCGCTAATATCCGCTAATCTGCGAAAACGGTCCATTTGAATGATAGGAAGTCGCGCCTGCGGGGAATCCGATCTTGCTCTAATGTCATCAATAAAATCGTGCATCACACGATATCCTTCAATCTTGGTAATTTTTCTACTGATTACTGATTTTGGCTGATTTGTTGATATTTTTGGACGAGACATTAACCTCCTGTTAGTCTATGAAGCTATTTGGTCAGTGTTAAACTGTGCGATAAAGTTTAAGGTGTATGTTTTGCGCATTGTATATTTCACGAGACCCGTTTCTTGCAAAATGTCTTCAAAATACCTAGAGCTTTGTCATGAGCTCCATACAAATAAAAATCGGTTGTGGGTTGAAAAAGAGGAAATACAAGAAATTTCTTCAAGAGACATTGGTCCTTCTAAGAGGTTCTTCAAGGGATCAGAACTTGCATGAAAAATAAATTCTCTCCTATTTTAATATTTTTTTTAATGAAAATGTTTCAAACTTCACTCCAAACTTCGAGAAACATAACGAAATAATGGAAGATGATTTTTTTTTTACTGCACATTCAATTTTTTATATCTTGTGGTAAGTACCCATAACTGCATAACAATCTTCTAGGATGACTCGATAAAAAGAAGCTACAGTATATACATCTCTTTTTTTTATTTCTTTAATATATTGATCTATTTTTGGAAATATGGATAATTGCTGAATAACTGAAAGAGTAGAGGGTCCATGAAAATGAAAACGTCTATTGGCTGGCTGGAAGAAAAGAGAAGAAAAATGAACATTAGGTACTTATCAGAATGTTCCGTATATGTGTCGGTATGCAATTGCGAGGAACCAATTAACATGAACAAAAAACGATGTTAGCAGAAATTGAAAGAAATATGGCAACCTTCGTGGTGAGGGGCCCGTGAAGCCGCCCTCCCTCACTCCTCGAGTAATGTCTTTGAGTCAAGTTCTGCAAAATTCTTCTTAATGTAAGATGCTTATGATCCCATTCGCCAAAAGTAACGTGAAAAATAAACTATCAAGGATCCCATTTTCAATAGTCATGAAAAAGTGTGTCAAAATCGTATTAAAACTCGTTATTCGGCTGAAATATGATAAAAAATGGAATCTACGACGAAAAATACACAAGATGAGGGTAATTTGCTCTATTCTAAGGGCGGGAAATCTCTGTAATCCGAGAAGATAAGACGCGTGATGCGCGATGACCGACCTCTCCCATTGACTCGATCCACCGTGCGCCCTGGTAAAAATTGGCAGTAGAATCTGTGTTCCAAAATACCATAGACCTACAGCCGACTGTAATATTTCTAATAGCTTCTATAGCCGGCAACACAATTTCTTATAGTCTTTTCTAGCCGATGGCGATTAAGAAACAGCCTGACGATAAAGTGTATGCTAAACGTTACTAATTATTATTACGGATGCTAGGACTTACTGAGTTTTTGGACTACCGCTCTCTTTTTGGGCCGTAGTATCTTGATTTATTTTGCAAGGAAAGCTCCGTACTTTTGAAGGATGCCTGCCATTCCTCATATGTTGAAGCGCCTTCAATTTCGTACGATACTGTGCAATACCTCTGGTGTGAAATAGTTGCTTCAAGCGCCGTGGTACGCTGCGGCGCGGCGGGCGGGCAGCCAGCGCTAAACGCGCATTGGCGCCTACAAACCTAACAAGGATACTTCACGCATTGCGCAATGCGTGAAGTATCCCTGTTAGGTTTGTAGGCGCCAGTGCGCCGCCGTTCCGCTTTGTGTTAGGCTCTAACAGTTAATCTCGTGGAGTCAGCGTTGTTCAACGCATGACTTTGAAATGCTTGCACACTCTGTATGGATTATTCTCATTTTAATTGATGAAAACAAATATGTAGTAAAGGAAAATATAATGTGCGTTTTGTAAATATTGAGGTGATTCCGTACAAACTTGCGGATTTCCAAAGCACACGAATTTCTACACAATTTCTTATAGCCTTTTATAGCCGATGGCGAAAAAGCAACAGCCAGGCGATAAAGTGTAAAGCCCGGCGACAGGAACTATAGCCCGGACTGCCCGGCTGTTTAATTTTGTATCGCTTCGTGTAGCCCGGCCGTATGATTTTTGCCACTTTCTACAGTCAGCTGTATGATTTTCTATCGCCTTCTTCAGTCGGCTATAAGAACTCCTATCCACATCCCCGATCTTCGTCCCAGACCAGTCCACTTTTGAATACTGCCGCGCCAAGGGAGAACGCCGTATGAGCCTTTAGACGTTCCCAAGTTTTCCTGTATAAAAACCGAATTTACTTGGAAAATTTTGAATATTTTTTTCCGAAGCTTTCTGGCAATTTTATACGCGATTCAATGTAAAATACCTATCTAAAAATTTCAAATAAAAATATGCATGAATGTAGTCAAAAATACATGTTTTATCAAGAGAAATTTGGCAACTCTAGAATGTTTATACGGCGTTCTTTCCTTAGCATGGCAGAATAATCCTGATGAATCGCACGGAATTCCGTGCTTGGGGAAGATTTTTTAAAATTGTTATTTTAGACCTACTAGGAGTCTAAACTACAGATTATTATAGTATGGCTCTAAGACTAGAATTTTCGATGTCACGGGGCCCTGAAATTAAAATTGGGGGGANGGGGGGCTGCAACAATAACCATCATTCCAGGCCCCTTAGTGCTAGTCCGGTCTTGTTGCCTTGTATTTTTCTGCTTTTTCCCTCCTGAAATGTGGGTTGCGGCTGCATAAGTAGGTAGGTATAATGAGTACCTATCGGAAAAAAAAAAAATCCTGAAGTCTCTGAAACTTATGCATCTGTTTGTTGACAGAGTTACTGGGATCATATGCACCGTGTTAAGGAAGAACGCCGTATGAACATTCGAGAGTTGCTAAATTTCCTTGGACAAAATGTTTATTTTTGAAGAAAGTTACGAATATTTTTCCGTTAAATTTTCATAATCTTTCGGTAAAATTGCGCACTACATCATCTGAAAAATTTGCAGAAAAATATTCATAAATATACCAGGAAATTTGAGTTTTATCGAAGGTAATTTGGCAACGCCTGAAAGTTCATACGGCATTTTCCCTTTGCACGGCAGAATATCGTCCGCGGCTTCGTAGAGAAGAATCACAGCGCAGCGTACCGAATTTTTAAAGTCGATACGTACGGGTCAACGCGACGAGACGGACGCAGCGCGCGGGTTTATTAAATTTATTCGCTGGTGGTGGTGCGGGACNCTTGAGGAGTCGCTGGAAGCCATGAAAAAAAAGGTGCAAATATAGCACCTGAGCGACGGGCGCCCAAGTTGAACTTCCCGAGCGTAATTCCCATGGGAGCAGATCCGAGTCGCCGTGTCGAAAGAAGCGCCGCGGCGCGCGGAGGTCGCCAAAGCCCGCAAAGCTCCTCACTTTGGCCCACAATCCAATTGAATGTCCTCGGTTTTTTTCCCGAGCGCCCACCCTCCCCCCTCGGCCCGCCCGCCCTGATATTTGATTTGACCATTTTCTACCATGGCGCTCGGATAGCCCGCTCCGCTCCCGACCCGAGCATGCACGATGCCCGTATCTGCGGCCATCCCCCAGTCCTCCCCCTGCATCATTCTTATCAGTGCTCAATGTGATCGTTTTAAATTAAGTGTCGTTAGTTGTTAATCTCGTTGCCTTATTTATGTGTGTAGTTAATTATGGCTTGTGCGAATAAGTCGGAGTACGACCAGATTTGTCGATTGTGCACCTCGAGTTTGGGGCAGGGGCCTTATCACATTTTCGACGATGATTTCTCCGATCAACTCCTGCGGAAGATTGAGGATTGTTTGCCGATCAAGGTAATTCGCTCTGGCAGTCTCTTATCGATTCATCATCGTAATTTTCGAGGTGATGTCTCGTCAATCGGTTTTTTGTCACAATTTTGATGTGATTGGGCAATCATGTGGGGCCACTAGTGACCTAGTAATGGGTTTGCCCCTGGGCCACTTGTCAAGTATTCTTTATCCATAAAGACAACTTCAAAGTATTACTTATGAAAATCTGTCATCTTGTCCTTCATGATTGCGTTTCCTGAATTCTCTGACAACATGTCTCTGTGTACAGTTAGATCATCTTTTGGTGATAGTGGCAACCTAACCTCTTTAGATTCACAATCATTGCTGAAACGAACCTGTGGCCTTGATATTGGTGGACAGTCTAGCCTACAAAATATGACCTAACATTCGTTTAGAAAAATCCCTCGTATGCTGAAGCACTCTTGACACACTCTAATTTTAGAAAAGTGGACAGAGTTTTCCTGTCGAGTACCCATTTAGCCAAAATTTTAACACCATTATCACCTCAGTTATGATCAATCTGAGCCAGACGAAGCTACTGTATCTGACAGCACAGGAGGAAATTAAAGTGTGCAAACACAAGTCACGGTCCTAGCGCAGAACCTTTGAGTGGTCTGAAGTGACAGCTATATTCTTAGGTCAAAATATTCCAGAACTCGCTTTACGAAAGTTGGCAGTTATTTACGTTGTGTTTGAAAATGGGTCCAATGCAGTCAATCTATAGTGATCGCAAATGGACCACAGGCTGTGACACCTCCATGCAGAGGCAAGTAATACTTAGTCTTCTGTGCGATATGTAGTCAAGCGTAAACAACTGCCATTGCACCTGACCGAAGATGCATCCTATACTTATGATCTAACTTTATATTAACAATGGATGCGTCAATTTTCTGGGATTACAATCTTAAAATGTACTGGAACTGAGGAATATTCAATCTTGAGTTGTGTGAAATTAACCAGGCAGCTAGGTAAAATCGAGCACTTGATTCTTATCCTTACAATATTTTAGAAGCGATGAGGTGTAAACCGTGCTTGAAGAAGTGGTAGGAATTGTTTCATATATTGACCCAGCAGTGGGCATTTTTTAAAATTAAGGAGAGTAGCCTCTTACATTTCATTTACTCATCTTTTTTCCATTTTTCCAGGTATCTGAAGAAGATGATTTACCAAAATCTGTTTGTGGTGAATGTTACTTGAAATTAGATGACTTTTACAACTTCCGTGAATCTTGTCGAAAAACTGCCAAATTATTTGCCAAAACAGAGGTTCCGGCATTGTTACTTAAGGTGAGTAACAAATGTTTTTTATATATGCAGGCACGATGCTTTTTCTTTGTTTCTATCCTAAGATTCCATTGGATGTATAAAAAAGGAACTTGCCTTTCCTAAGTACAGTTGCAGCCAGACAGCTATTTTGACTTCCATAGCATAACATCATACGATCCTACAATCATGGGATCTCACAATTGTCCTTTACTTACTTAATTCTGAACTTTTCTCTCTTTGCTCAGGAACCTGTTTCTGTACGCCATTTCATTCAAGCATCCACCTGTCCTTACTCTCTTTTATGTTTGCAACATTTTTATTTTGGAGTGCTATGATTAGAAAACAGATTGATGAATGCTGTTTTTTTGGTATCCCCGATTTGATGAAGCAAAGCTTATGACTTTGAAAAAGTATTGATTGGTTCCTATAGTTCGTCAGTGCCAGAAGTAGGATAACTGCTAGGCACGATAATATTACCTTTCTAATCAGATTCTATTCTATGCACTTTAAAAAGTTTTCGGAGTAGCTCACTCTTTACTTCTCTCATTGTAATTTTATTTGTAATTTGCTCCTAAGTTTCTAATGTCTGCTGGAATCCAACAGGTACCAGAGGTGCAAGAAAAACGTTTTGGAAACAAATCTGCCAATGAAAGGAGTATCCAGGGGGAGTGCAGGGATGAAAAAGATGGCCAGCTCGTCATCTGCGAGCCAGAAGAAAGCCAGCATGCCAATGGCGACACCATCGCTGACACGGCATCTGACGAAGATGATGAAGGTAAAATTCTCATTTCTGTTAAATTTACAGTAGTAAAGTATACTCATTCATTCAAAACCAGAGAGAATGGAAGAGTAACCTTCCATACTCTCTGTTCAAAACCTATACTTTAGATTAGAAATTCTTCAGATGGGTATCCTTTAAATTGAATGATTCCATCAATCAAACAGTTTGTTTGCTTTTTAGTGATATTTAGTTCATTTTCAGGGTCTTAAATATTCATGAACTCAGTTTTTTACTTGCCTATTATCCATAGTTAGTCATTAAAGTAGGTTAAAGAACCACATAATTTTCTCTGCTGCTATTTTCAAAAAAACATCATAATCCATGCATTTCATATCAATTTATTTCTAACTTTTCAATTTTCTGCTTTCAAGATCTTCAAAACCAAGATACTGGATTTGACAGAGTAATTGAAATTTTCAAACTGGTCCACTTTATTTACCTACTTACCTACTTATAGCATAAATATGGAATTACATACTTGTCCAGAGAACCAAAAATTGGAACCTACTGTAGATTAGATTAGTTAGTCAGTCTGTGTCATAGAATTGCGTTATGATACTTAAATCCTACAGGTAAGAAAGAAAATAACAGAGCTGTGTGAAAAAAATGGGGGTGCAGAAAATGCCTAACTATGCGTCTGACAAAGTGTGAGAATGTGGAAAGGCTCTAAAAATGTGGTAAGATTGAACATTTTTAAGGTTCCAAGTGCGAGTCAAAGGAAAAGGTCTCCATTTTTTATATTGGTGGGAAATATTGCGCAAAACCAGGCAAATCCACGTAGGTCAAGCACTCCTGTGGACAAGTTCAGAGACCCCACTGCGCATCGGTGGCAGGAAGTTTATGTGCAATGTTCTTCTTACTGGCTGCAGTCGAGTGAAGGATGGGCAGCAAATGGATTTCAAAAAGATATGCAGTGACTAATCTGTGATGGGGGAAGCTGGCAGGTAAGCGTATGCAAATGTGGAAGCTTGGAAGATATTGCATCTCTGGTTCTTTACAGACTCCGAAGTTTTCTTTTCAATATCCGGGATATAAAATCTTACCAAAAATACCGATACAAATGAAAATGATAAACAAAAATTGTTTTCAAACCTTCCTAAAAAGAATAGTTGTGATGCATTCATCCGCTTTGATCTAAATAATTCTAATCATTAATGTCTAAATTTGCTGTCCAGAATCATTGCATGAAAGATCGAAAAAATTGCCTGAATTGGGAGAGCCCTGCTCAGAAGATTACGTCCTAATGAAAGAAGAAACATTTGACCTAGATGTGAAAGATACCAAGTAAGTTACTTTCTCAATGACTTATTGAAACTAGCTTATAAATTTTGAGCTATTAGTAATAACAAATTCTAGAAATAATAAACATCAACCTACAGTCAAAAAAAAAAAAAAAAAATTATAAAAGTAAATTCTGAAAATGTTGAGCCCTTGCTTGTTTTGTACTTTATGTTTTTTAGCTTGAAGTTTATTTACTCTTTTAAGTCTTTTCACAGCCTTTTGAACCTTTTAACCACCAATTTACTTCCTGACAATATTGATTTGTGACATCAGATGAAACTAAAATTTTGTTTATGTCTCTTTGTTTTCGCTCTTTTGTCTGTTTACTCTACCCGTGTGAGCAAAACCTCCAAAAATGTGAAGGCAAAGAATCTCATGCACCTCCACCTTTAGTTTAGATTTAGTTGGAGATTGTAACTAACACACGTAATCTACTATGAAATCTATTGTGAATCTATTATGTATTAATAATGTGGAGGAAATGTGGCAAACAGATTACAAATAAGCAAGATAGAAGCCAGAATTATTCTTTACCTTTATTGCAATCTTGATAAGAAATTAGTTTCAATGAAAATTAATAGACTGCAAAGTTTCTCGTTTTTAATAAAAAAGAGCCCCTGAAACCAATGAGGAGAATTGTAAAATTTCAAGTGGAACATAAGGCATCAGCCATGAAAGATTTCTCTTCAAATGAATAAATGATTGCAAAAAAAAACCAAACCTGTCATAATCACCTTTTTTATTTTTTTAGAGCTGGAGGATCAAATGTTCTTGCTGATTACCTAGTAGAATTCAACCATAATAGTCATGACCGGGAGCATGATCATGAAAAAGAGCGTGAACGGGAACTCATGAAAGATAAGGATATTTTTGAGACGCAAAAGCTGAGGAAAGAAGTGTTACCTCCAATGTGGGATGTCTATGAGAAGACAGTCAGCAACAAGGAAAATGACGGTGAGCTCCTAGTTAAATCTCATTTTTCTTTTTTTTAATGCCTTTCTTATATCATGGGTTCCAGTACATGTTGAGACACAGTATTATTGTCTCTCTCGTTGCCAACTAAACTTGTTGAGAAAAATCTGAAGAATTATCGAAGAGCAGGTTTTGTCCGAGATCATTGAAAACAAAGTTGTTCAGCCAGTCAAATTTTTAAGTAAACAGCTCATCTGTGGTTCTGATGCTTTTTTATTGTATTATTGAGGAGAGCATCAAACGCCATCAGTACTTCAAATAAGTTTTAATTATTTCTTCTGTTCAATTAATTTGAAAAATAAATAAATAAATAAATACATCAAGAAGTCAACAATACAGGCATATCAAGGAATTTTGTTTGTAACGGAAACGGTGAGCAACTACACTTTGGATTTTGACAAGATGTTAAATGTATGAGTTCCCTAACTGAAGAAAGGAAATGAATTAGCATAGCATAATCATTTGAATATTCTGGTATTATATTCAGACATTCTCATGACATCTATACTATAAGCTCCAAGACCTCCTAATTTTGTGAAACTGGTGACGCTTAGTTCCAGCGTTCTACCGGGCCGATTTTCATGATTTTTGCGGCTATCGACGGGCAATTGTCTCTAGATAAGCCAACTCTTTTCAGATTTTCAAAATATGGCCCAGGTTTTTATATATTACGTGGTAAAGTTGCGAATTCTCCCATTTAAACAATGTAAATTTATATTTTTTGTCATAGTTCGTTTGAGCGTTCTACCGGGCCGATTTCCATGATTTTTGCGTAAATCGAGAGGTAATTGGCCCTAGATGAGCCCGCTGTAATCAGATTTTGGAAAAAGGACCCAGGTTTTTTTAAAATCACGTTATAAAAGTGAGTGAGTTTACAGAATGCTCCGGTANGAAGTAAACAGCTCATCTGTGGTTCTGATGCTTTTTTATTGCATTATTGAGGAGAGCATCAAACGTCATCAGTACTTCAAATAAGTTTTAATTATTTCTTCTGTTCGATTAATTTGAAAAATAAATAAATAAATACATCAAGAAGTCAACAATACAGGCATATCAAGGAATTTTGTTTGTAACGGAAACGGTGAGCAACTACACTTTGGATTTTGACAAGTTGTTAAATGTATGAGTTCCCCAACTGAAGAAAGGAAATGAATTAGCATAGCATAATCATTTGAATATCCTGGTATTATATTCAGACATTCTCATGACATTTTTTATGCTGTCTCTGCTTGTAAATAAAACGAATATGATCTTTAAAACTAATTATGCAAGGCATATGGAAATTGCCATCAAATAGTCTTAATCTCAAAGTAAGTTCTTGGAATGTCTGATTTAACCAATTATGCACCACATCTGCTGTTTATGTTTTCGTCTGTGTGAAATCTGTGAAAAAATATCTTAATTCTAGTTTTTTCTACACAGGAAAACTCTACGATGGTGTTATCAAAATTACCCACAGGCGCTACATTGTTAGTAAAGGGGCATTTCCATGTTCACTTTGTGGTGAGTGTTTTGAATTTGACCAAGGCCGAGGCCGTGATGACTCTGAAGAAAAAGCACGTCTTTTTGATTGCCATGTTTGTGGGAAGCTGTTCCCGCGTCGCAGTTCCTGGAAACGACACTTAAGCACGCATGAAGACATGAAACCGTACTTATGCCGCATCTGTGGTCATGGCTTCAATCGCCGCGAGCACCTCTCAAGACATCTTCTCTCCCACACCAATACAAAACCGTTCAACTGTACTGCTTGTGGTAAACTTTTTACCCGTAAAGAGCATTTGGCAAGACACCATCTGTGCAGTCCAACCTGCGTCTCTGCAGACATGAAGGAACAGCTGCGTCCGTTCTGTTGCGAAGTTTGTGGCCACGGGTTTGTGCGAAAGGAGCACCTTTTGCGTCATAGAAAGAAAAATCATGATCTGGACCCCCCTGAAACTGCCGAACCTAAACCATTCGCCTGTGATGTCTGCCATAAGAACTTCACACGCAAAGAGCACTTGAGAAGACATCAAATCATCCACACCCGAGAACTCCTCCTAAATTCTTCACCGTTCGATCTTTCACTCATGGCAAGTGAAAAACCCTTCAATTCTGAGGTATCCATGTTTTCTGTTGATCGTAGCCGGAATAACTCCCTTGAGCCTGCCGAGGCTTTGTTGGAAGGGCAGGAAAGTGAAAAAGCCATGGATCTTTCGAAAGAGGAAGAAAGCGATTGTGAAGAGGATGAAGACACTTTTGTTCCACCTGCACCACAAGTCTCCTTGGAAATCAAAGAAGCCTCTACACCTGTAGTCCCACCCATGCCATCAATTTTGTCCATTCCAAGTCCATCAAGACCCAGACTTAAAGCGAAAACTTTATGTGATATCTGCAACAAAAACTTCTCTCGTCGCAGTCATTTGCTTCGACATTTGAAGCGGATTCATCATGTCAGCCTTCCAACCCGCATGCGGCGAAAGCGAGAGCCTCAGCCTGGCGATGAAAATGGAAACTCCTTGCCAAGTGAAGACAGTACCCCGCAGAACTGTGAGATTTGTGGGCGGACATTCGCTCGTCGCCATTTGCTCGAACGCCATCGTGAAGTGATGCACCCGAGTGAAGCGGCCCGCTATGAGTGCGTTACTTGTGGACAGAAGTTTGTTGAAAGCCATCTCCTGGATGCTCATATGGCCATCCATGGCAACACCATTTGTGATAACTTCCTTTGGATGATGTGACCTAACCGCTCGCCTGTCATAGTCTCAATTCCGAGCTTCGGCCATCCTGATCTTTCCTCAAAATGATCTACTCTAGCTTGTGATCTTAGGTTCAGAATATGTGCCAACTTGAAGGGCTTTTTTCGCGGATGATAACCTAATGTCATCAACTTACTCATAGAGGTGAATCATGTAATGCATGACCTAAATATCAACTAAGATTCAGTTGTTGGAGACAGGCCTGACTTAAAGCTTGTGTTAGATAATTGGTGTCAGAATTCATAAAAAAAAGTAGGCAGAAAGGAAAAAAAAACTTGTATAATATTTTTCATGTGTTACATTATCTGTTCTTTTATCTCTTGTAAGTTAAAATTCTGATGTTAGGTTGACTGAAGCTGATAAAAGCCCTTAATGATTGCAACAAATCTCATGTGAGGACCATTGCCCCTTTTCCAACATAGCATGTAAGTTGTTTCTCTTAGATAATAATTCCTTTACATTGGAGTTGTCAATGTAAACTTACTTACCCCAATTCTCTAGAATATTTTTTGTTATTTAGAAAATTTTCAATGGACGTTTTTATTTTTTGTTTTGGAAGACACGAAAAATCCCATTGGCTATTTAATCTGGATCACGAAGATTATTCATCTGTCTGGAAACAGTGATGAAGGAACACTTTTATTTTTATAAAAATGCATAGCGCATAGTCGCTCTTGATAGGCTTGGAAGGCAAAAATCAAAATTATGACCTTTGTAATTTTCGCTAAACCAATCCAAGTGTTATTGCAGAATGATCTAATCTTAAACTGCGACTTTTAGGTTTAATTTGATTAATTTATTTATTTTTCTAATTTATTAAGAGTTAAGGCACTACATTTTCTCTTTTAGTCTTCTCACTTTCTAATGGGACCAATAATTCCAATGGTACTCTCTGTACCATAAAATTGCCTGTAAGACTTATTTTTCGTTAATTTAACATTCCTCCCATTACATTCCATTTTCTGCCCTCAAAGTTTTTCTTCCATTTTTCGTTTATCTTAAATTTATGACCAATGTTTTTGCCTATCTCTATACCGTTCAGGGTAACACTTCAAATGATTGTTTTCTTACAGTTGTACATCCTGGATTCGAGACATTCAAGTATTCATCATCATCAATGATTCCTCAAACTGCACTGACACTGTGTTAGATTTGACTTGGGTTCTCTTTCTTTCTTTTCCATGTCCCAGGTTGTATTTTGAAAATTTGTCGCATGGAAGTTTCTTTGAATATGAGAAACATTTCTCAATGATCCTCTGTAAATTACCTCACTTCAATCAGTGAATTTTTGACATAAGTTCACTTTATTCTTAAAATATTTCTCTTCTTATATGATAAGTTACCTTCAAGTCCAAAAGTTATCTTGCCAGTCATCACTACTGTAAGTTATGCATTCGTGCAGAAAAAGTTAACCATTTTTTGTTGTCTCATTTTATTATTTTTAAGACTTATCATTTGGTTTTGTTTCAGCGATTTTATTTGTTTTGAAGTCCCGTTATTTACTTTTTTAAAGTTTGTATAATTTTTCCTATGTATATAAAATAATGATCAGTTCCAGGAAAACTAACATGTATCAGAGCCTGTACTAAAGCGTATTTTCGTTGATGATTGGTCGAGCCAAAATGGGTGGATCACAAGATGTTGTGTTTTATTTTGACGCGATCATAATTTTTAAGACCAACATCGGGACTCACCAGAGAGATAGAAGGTGAAATTCTTGCAAACGTTGGAGCCAAAATATAATCCTAAAAAAAGTACGGCTTAGAAATGACCTGATGAAGATGATGGCATCCGATCAGCATCAATTTTGAAAGTCTAACTTCAAATGTTTACCCATCCGATTATGATCTTGCCGCCATTATCGCGGCATTTTGGCTTGACCGATCATCATCGAAAATACGCTTCTAGCATCAAAATTTTAGTTTTGAATCATGCCATTGCAATAGTAAAATTATATTCATCCTCTGCTTGCATAGCCCTATAATTTTACAATTAATCCTTCAGAATCCGTCTTGAGGAAGGAAATTAATGCATATACAAAATCATACCAGAAATTACCCCAGAATTTGCACTGGTTGTCTGGTAATTGTGCTATATTTGTAATTTTTTTCTTAAAAAAAAAAAAAAAGAATATGCCACCATCAATACTCTCAGTTCATGTAGTGTTGTAAATTTCAGTCTTTGCCCGGGAGTTATAAGACGTTCTTCACTCGAACTTTGGTTTGAATCAATTTAGTTTTTTGGTGTAGGTGCTGTTGATCTGCCATGGAAAGATTCTTTCATAGTATTTTTACCGGAATTTGTGATTTCTGTAACCTCCCAAAAGTTTGTTATCCACACTGTTAATGTTTGACTGTTGGGTTTATTCAGTCGTTTTGTTACATAGATTTTTTATTTTACCTCAGAATTGTGCCTGCCCAGCATGTTGGGCAAATACATAGCTATTAATACACTATTTTTCCCTCAATGGTTTTAAGTGAGGATTTCCGAAATTTGCAAGTCAGTAAGTCTTATGATCTAGGACCAAAAGCACCGAAAGTCTAATCAGATATTTTGACGTAGATTTTTAAACATGTAGACTGAAGAATGAACATATTTTTTTCACTTTTATTGACTTTTAATAGTTTCCATTGAATATTTTTGGATTTTGGCTTAATTAAGTCATAGCATAGCAATGAATACCATTATTCAATGTAGTCCGACAATTAATTTGAACCCTGTATGTTCTATGTGAAGAACGAAATGCTGTCTCTTCATACTCATCTTGAACTTTAGATAAAATTGAGCTGTTCAGAAGACCAACTGTTGTCACACCCGAATGGAATTCCTTGAAGTATGTCTCAAATTCAACGGAATCTTCAAGTCTTTGTTATGTCGAGATCTGCCATATCTAAATTGTAGTACTCAGCTATTCTCTGACTTATTTCCTCTCATTGTTATTGAGAGAAGCGGTCATGGTCAGTATTAAGTCTCCTTTTTAACTACTGGAAATAAACATCCTCTCAGAAATGAAGTACCCCACTGAGAAATTCAGTTTTATTGTTCGAGCCAGGAACAATTGAAAATAGTAATCAAACCTGCAGATTTTGAATGTTTGTAAACGAAGCTCGCAATTTAATTTATTGATCTGCAGATGTGTCATAATAATTGGTTGTAAATTGCAGCTAAAAAATCAAATAACCATTGAGTTAGGGCTGAAATGTGATGCGGCTTTTGACGCATAACATTTTCTGGTTGCGTCCTAACTGAGCCATTTTTCTTTTGAATTGCATGTGTTCACTTGAAGCTAGATTCTTGAGTGTCTGAATACCCAACACATTTTGAATTGTATTATATTTTCTGACCGCTATTACGTGAAGATCTGAAAATTGTATTATCCTTTAATCTTGTGTTTTTACCAGTTTCCATATTACGTTGGTTAGCTCTGCATTAGTGATTTAGGTCGCCCCCATGGATTTTTTTTTTTTTTTTTTTTTTTTTTTTTTTTTTTTTTTTTTACACATAGGTTTCATGAAAGCAAATGTTTATTTTTATCGGGTGAATGTAAATTTCTAGATCTTTGGTCATGCAACTTTTTATTGTTGGTACTTCCAGTTTTGATGCAACCAATCGGTTCTATGTTTCTGCTTAAAGATGATTCTTAGAGTATATTTTTGGAGAGTATTTGTCACAGTGTAGGCACGGAGGCCTTACTTTAAATATTATTAGTATGTCTAGTGTTAGAATTAGGGGCCTTGTGTAATATTGAGCTGCGGTTGGTAAGAAATATTTGTTAAAACCAGGCCTTAGGTCAGATGCCTTATCCGTTCCTACTTAAGTTTCATTTTATACCTTTCTAAATTTTTCCCGTTCAATCCATCCAGTCTTAATTATTCCTGAATGTGCTGTCATTCATTGGATGGACCTGAAAAGTTTCTTTCTGTTTTTTGTTTTTGTTTTTTCTTTCCAACAGAAAATGAAAAAAAAACTGCATTAAAATCAATGGTAGAGTCTTCAAGTCTCATGATTCTTCCGTTACATCAATCATGCCTTCAAATTAGAATACTGCCCCTTTAATGTACATAATACATCGAGACCATTTTTTGTTTTGCTTGAAAGTACAGTCAATTTTAAATTAGTGTTGAAATATCATAACTTATGTACCACCTGATGTACCTTCAAATTTTTTTTCTTTGGAAAATTTGTCAATTCTCATCAGATTCTAGTATATTCTTGTGTAAAATATCATTCAGTGAAGCAAAATGTGTTTTCTAAAATATGTACAACATATCTTTAAATTGCTGGATCATAAATTTCTCATCTGCCTATATGTTTTATCATTTGTTATTTATTGAACATGGCAATGGCCAACGACCAGATTTTCTATTTTCAGACGAGACCCTTCAGGCGTGTGTACGCAATAGATACTTAATGTTTCGCTTGAAATTTATCCCTTGCACTAGAAAGAGCTAACACAATACTTTTTCTCAGCATTTTTCAAGAACTGAGAAATTCTCAGCTGATCTTTTTTAATTAGTAATACTACACCCTTCTTACAATAAGTATCTGAACTATGTTATCTACACTGCTGTAAGGTATCAGGGGAGTTTCTCTGTAAAAATCCATTTAAGTGCAGAATGGGCCGACAAAATCTCCTAACCATGCCTTTATCGCGCCTTATGCCTTATTGTGTGTCAGATTAAAAGATTGTATTGTTTGCGATGTGATAGTCTAATCAAGTGGGAGGGTGATATTTTTGTAACAGTTACCGCGAACAAACCTTGTAGATATGCGCTAACCTGCTGCTCCTTCCTTATGTTGCTTATCCTGAAAATTTAGTGTTTTTTTTGTCGATCAACTTTTCTTTCATGAGCTGGTTTCCTAAGTGTGAAAATATATGCCTGTTTTCTTCCGCCTCAAGAGAGTAATTTCACCATACAACTAATGATAGATTTTTGAAACCATACCATTCTTAAAAATTATCATAGCTCATGTGAAAGAAAATATTCTCACCATTAGTTGTTTTCGTTTTGAGAGTGATTGTAGATATTTTGGTATTAGAACTTAAAATTACATTCCGTTAAACAAATTGGCAAAGCTTAACCATGAAAGGGTCTGAATTCTGTACCACAATGTGTTAATTCTCCTGAAAACCAAGGGTTACCAAACTTAAAAATCTCTAATTGACTTTGATCAAATAGATTAAAGAATGTGTTCTGTATTTTTGTTAGCTGAAAGTGTTACGCTTCCATAATGTTTCAATTCTATCCTCGTTTGTTAAAGGTCTATTTTTGGCATAGTTTCTTTTCCCTTGATCTCTGCTCTTTTTTCGATTCCATTGATTCAGTGTTTTTTTTTCTTTACTTGTGTAAATTTGACTGTTTAATACAGTAGATGCAGTTTATAAATTATTTTATCAAATCACTTTGTATTTGATTAGCCTTGCCGAAAAGAGATTGCGCATCCTTGTGAGTTACTGAAATAACTGTGCATTGTATTACATTGTATTTGAATCTTCTCTAACTTTTCTTGTCTGCAGATTTTTTTTTAAATGAGAATAAAAAAAGTCATCTCCTTCACTGAAGCAAAGGAAGTGAGTGTAGGTTATCAAAAGAAAGCCTCACTAGGCAAAAATATGTAAGAGGAAAAAGTTTCAAAATGTCAGAAATATTAACCTCCAAGCATAGAACGTAGAAAATTTCAGTACTGAAACAGTAGGGTGTGCACTCAGTTTCATTGAGTGAAAAGAGATAATCGGGAGAAGGGCTCATAGAAATTTTTTTTGCTCAGAATGGACCGCAACAGGCAATTGAGTCCGATTCTAAAATATGTATGTTAAATAATCTTGGAAAAAATATAATCTTAAATGAATGCTACTTTATTTTATGAGAATTTATATTGGAAGAATATTGTATGAGAACTGTAAGCAGTATTGATGAGAACTGTAACTGTAGCAGTTCAGAGTGACATGTACATAAAGAAATTAGGTTGGAAACATTAATTGAAAAATCGATTTTGCTAGTTAAACATTATTGCTTTGAAGTGTGCCATGGTGGAAAAAAGTTATTACTTACTTCATTTTAGGAAGGTTCTATCCGTTTTTTCTCGCAATTTTATTTATAATGGAAAATTAGCAAAATTAATTGTAATTTCCAGTGGTCTCTACACGGCATATCATCGGTTTTTATTGAGTCAATAAGAGTTGAGGTCTGCAGATTTTTCCTCTTTTTTAAGAACACACGTAGGTTAATAACTTGGTGCCATTGTTGCCCAACATCCATGTAAGTAGCTGTCCATTAGATATTTAGCAGGATTTAATTGATTTTTCACAGCTTTGGCAGAGGTATTGATCCCTAAAATTTATGCTTAAATAGTGTCACTGTAATTTTCTCTAAGAGCAGATTTTTATGTTTGTTACTGCGCACATGTCGCCCCATCTATTTTTTGTACAGATAGTTGCTTTTCTTTGTTAGATTTTGCATTTAGATTAATTGTTTAAATCCAAATTTTAAATCTTAAACCCTGTTTACCATTTCGCTAAGAAAACTAGTCAAAGAAAGTTGATTTTTCAAAGTATAACTTCTCTTATTAATTATTTTGATCCCAGTTATGTAAATATCAACACATGTACAGAATGCACTGAATTTCTTTGCTCCTAATATAAATTTATACAGTAGCATCACAGAGTACGTAACCTGAAATAGGGACTGCTACTTGCTTGTCTGTAAGAAATGAGTGGACCGGAGACACAATGAATTGCCTCAATATTTGGTGATAGTGACGTAGTATATTTTAAAGAGAAAAATTCTCACAAAAAAAGCCTTTACAAGGAGATTCATGAAAATATCACAGAATTTCTTTAAAATTAAATAGAAAGTCTTACCTTAACACTATGTATTAATTTCAGGCGAAATGCGCTTTCCTTGTAATGTATCTTTGATGAAACTTACAGCAGTTCCAAATTTAAGGTAGTAAACTTTTATCAGAACTAATAATCCATCACGATCGCCTTTCAATAGAGTCCAATTAAAACTATAGAATTTATTACTTACTAATCTGGTCACAAGTTCTTTGAATGATCCAAAACAAGTCCTAGTCCAATTTCTGCTGTGCATGCAATTATGCTTATAGAGGTGTCGTCAGCTAAGTTGACGGTTGTTTACTTTCGGTTTGCAAGTGCCAACGACGAATTTGGGCCTCTGGACAAAGCGGTATTCGCTACTATCCACATTGAAAACATCAGTCTCATGATTGTATCGTAAAAAAACTACTTATCAGTTATGATTTGCAACTTTTTTGTGGTTGTGATTTCTGTGTGGCCAAAAATTAAAGTGTTACAAGATTTGAAAGTATTATAAAACTTATCTAAGCTTGTGTTCTTGCTTCTGAGAGAGCCAGATGTTTTCATGTGGATAGTAGTGACGCGAAAACGCCTGCAAACCGAAAGTATACAACCGTCAACTTAGCTGACGACACCTCTAACAGGTCACCTAACATCTTTCTATTTCAATTTTAGGATTCACTGTTTTTATCAATCTTTACTTTACCCTGTTCCAAATCTAGCTGCAAGGGGAGAGCAACTTCTAAAGCAGCCTCGACGTTTTCATCTGTACGCCAGGCCGGTTGGCCAGCTTGTAAAAAGCAGAAGACAGTCAAATTTTCTCATCTAATTTGTGCAGGACCGTTAAGGTGTTTTTGAGGCGCCTTTTTATCTTGTGCTTTCAGCCAATTGGCCTATAATTACCCAGGGGCTCATGGCTAATGTTACAGGAATTTTCGCCTATCATAAATCTTGAATTTCATGAAATTCCTTTTTTGGTTCAATACTTATTTATATCGAAAATCAAGATCCTATAGTCGCAACGGTTATTTTCTCTTTTTTTAAAATTTTATGACTTGGTATTGTTAAGATGGAATTCAATGAGTACCTTTTTTAGTTAGGCAAATTTCACTCTGCATTGCTACTTGAATCCTTTGTTTTTATTTTAATGCAAGTTTTCTTGTTTTATTTTACCAGACCATCAGCTAACTGTAAGCATCTTCATTTTTTGTTCATTCCGTTGCTGTATCTGAGCTACTCTGATTCATTATGTTATTAAAATTTTGATATTTTTTGAACCTTGGTGTTGTTTGCTTTTTTGTTCATCTATTTATTGTCCAAATTTAAATTAACCCATTCACCAAAATATGAATATTAAAAAAAAAAAAACCTCATTTTAACATCTTTCTGTAGTTCTTCAACATCTCAGTGGTGAAACCAAAAATAATAGTTTCCCAGTTGTCCACACTGCAGATTTCTCATAATAGGATTCCCATAATAAATTCATTTACAAATTTTCTGACTTTCACTAATCTTTGAGCCAAACTTCCACTTTGATTTTTCTTTTTTCAATAATGCTAAGTTCTCCTAAATGCTACTCACAAAATTACCTGACTTTCCTAGTTTTCCAGGAGACCCTGCATTAAAGTTTACCTTTTTGAAAAAGAGTTGCCATACCAAATATTGTGTTACCTTCCTCCTTCCTAACACCTTTAATGAATATCTCCTAGATATATCAGTTTGTATACTTAACCTCTCTAAGAATAAACTATGAAATGAACTAGGAATCATTTTTAATTGAGCGATCAGGCAGATATTTTTCTATCTTCACTCATGGTAGAAAAACAGATCTGTGAACTTACAGCCTTTCGAAAATCTGGACAGTTTAAGAAAATTCATTATCAATTCACTGATCCTAAATTCCAAAACTATTGATGAATGGCATTAAAAAAAAATGACAGTAAGTACGGTTGAAATCTTAACAATTGAATGTTTATTGAACTTATGAAAACAAATATTGATTCTAAGACAAGGACATTGGAGCAAAGCCTCTATGCTAACTGATGATACTAAAATAACACATTGTATTAAGACATGAAAGCTCTTGAAAGATGATTTGTTTAATTCTCATGCATAAGTAGGTATATCATGCTGTAGTAAAGCTGAATGTTTGAATCGACTTAGTCTGGGCTTGATTATGCCATAAACTTTGAATAATAACAAATGAGATACTGAATGAGAGGGACACAACAAAACAAAACAATTTTGAATATAAAGATAGGATTTGCTCTCATTAAGAGATATTAGAATCAAAATGGTTTAAGGTGAATCTACAGTGGAAGTAGACAAAACATCAAACAAGTATTGCTGAAATATGGATTTCGCTTCGAATTTTGGGCAAAAAACAGATTGACTACACTAGTTGCACATTTCAGCCGATTTACCTGGACAATCTATTTTGTAAAACCCAAAATAAAGCTGAATGGATGCAAATGCAAAATATAACATTTGATTGGTTACATCAAAATGTTAACATTTGTAAGCACACATTTTCAGCTTTCTTTTAGGGTTTCCCATATGGATTCTTGAGAAAGAAATAGATGAAATATATGTCTCTGGGCATGATCAATCCGTTTTACGAAACCAGTATTTGATTAAAATGTGTTTTATATCTTGATATTTGCTTACTTCTGCTGAAGATTCACTCTGAGCTCTATACAAAAGGTCTAAACAAGATTTAAAGAGTGACTGGTTCCACGAGAATCAGGGACGATGGCTGGAATGAGTTAAAGTACAAAATTACTGAGGGTCATTGAATACGAAGGGATGTATGCTTAGTGAAATCTCATTCTAAGGGACAGAGGTTGTGGCCTTAAAACGGAAAGCAGATGGAGGTTACCTAAGTTTCTAACAAAATTGCCTTGGTCCTTATGGGAAGAAGAGCAGATGAAGGTTACTTAAAATTTCTAACATTGCTTTGTTCTTTGAGTCATATGTCAAGGAAGAATGAAAGGGGGCATGTACCAGAAACACAGAAATTTGAAAGTCCTCACAACTGATACTCCCGGTTCATGTATGATCTTTCCGAACAAATTTCAACATCTTCTAAGATAATTTTCAAACTGCTTCCTGAAACATTTTTTATAATACTTTCTAGCATTGAATTACATTGCAATCATATAGATAGAAGTAACAAAACATGTTGATTTCTCTGGGTCAATTTTCCACGCCAAAGCTGAAAACCCCCACGAATCTTCGATTGTTATCAGAACTTTCATTTTTTTTCCCAGAAAAAAGTAGAAAAAAATAACTGTGGGAAGCTTGAGAGGGATTTCATTACCAACTCAATAAATGCTGATTAAAAATTACAAGAAAACCTAGAAACCCAAAAAGGATAAAAAAGCTTAAGAATTGGAAAATATTTACTAATAGCTAAAATGGTAGAAGTGCAATTGAATGATTTTCTTTCAAAAGAGAGAATGTTCTCTCCAAACTTGAAAATAGCACTGTTTATGACGCAGCTATGCCTTGAAAGGCAGAGAGGCTGTATCAAAATTGACTTAAAACAAGGTGACAATTTTTTTCGTGCGACACATGATTTTTTGGATCAGTATTGCTTACCTGACATTATTAAAATTAAAAAATGATTCTTTGTTGGATGAGGATAGAAGCTTGAGGATCACCCTTCAATCATTTGTTTATTTTGGCCGAATAAAATGCAGTGGGGAAAATGTTTTGCTGAGATTATCAGGTAGAGATGAGTTCTTTCCACTAGGCAGTGCGCAGTATGATATGAACACCAGAATCAGTAAAAACAGGCTCGCTCAGTTCACCAACCTTAAGAGCAAAAGCAGCTTCTTCAAATGGTCTTTGCATTGCTCCATGGCCAAATGGCCCAAGATCACCACCTCGCTTGGCTGAGCTACAGTCTGAGTATTTCTGCGCTAATTCTGCAAAGGATGCTTGCCCACTTACGATTTTCTCTCTATATGCTGAAATCAAAGAAAAATCAAAGATAAGCAAAATAAGGAACAACACGTCAAGCTTTTCTACATCCCTGCTGACAGCCAATCAGAGGAGAACTCTAGGTGTTCTTAATGTTTATTTTTCTAACACCATGAAAACTGGACAGTGCTGGACGGGCCTACATTGTTTTCCCAGGAATTTGAAAGTTCATCGTCTTGGCTTTCCAAGGGCCTTTTCCTAAATTTTATTGCCTTTTTCTCATGCTCCACTTTGTCTTCCTCATAAAGCTTCTAGGAGTCTCCCACCTATCTGCAGGGCACATTTTGCATTTGTCTTAAGGTGATTTGTTAAGCTCAAGTGACATGGTCGAACTGACATGCAATATATCGCATCGATTAGGTAAAAAATTTTGGCAGATTTTGGATTTTTAGCAAAAAAAAAGGACGATAGACTCTGCGCATGAGCCTGAAGAATCATTCTAAACCCAAAAATCGGCAAAATTTGAAAGCAAGAATGACAGGAATGAAAGCAGAATAGTGTTTGGAAAAAAACCTCGAATTCGATTCAGCTACCAATTTCTGTATCGAATGCAAGGTTTTATTCCAAACACAGTTCTGCATTCATTTCTGTGAATTTTGCCAATTTTTGGGTTTAGAATGATTCTTTAGACTCATGCATAGGGATCATCATTTTTTTTGCTAAAATTTCAAAATCTGCCAAGATTTTTGAACTAAACAATTTGATATATCGCATCCCAGTTCGACCACGTCACTTGAGCTTGACAAATCATTTTAATTCCAGCCCTATTGACTCACAATTGTTGCAAGTTTTCTATCAATTCAGGGTATTCAAGTAGTTCATGAGAAACTTACATTTTATTGATTCTAGGGCCTCTTCTTTAGAGCGAGTGATATTTTCTTCTCGCCATGACGAAGGTCTCCGGGAGTGCTCATGCTTGACTAGTAAATGGCTGCACTGCACTTTATCTGGCCCTGGACCACCTCCAGATACTGCACCTGACTTCGGTTCAGCTGGTTTGTCAGGTCTATCCCACTGACTTTCTTTGGTGTGCAGATTCAGATAATATGTTTGACCTGCAAAGAACAACACAAAATAGATTAGAGCCACTTAAATAGAAAATAAAGCTTGCAAGCATTGTTGCAGAAAAGCAGTGCTCTAATGAGCAGGAAACAGGTGACGAGTTTCCTAGAGTTCTGAAATTGTCTGACATTACATTACCAGGGTTTAGAAGCATATAACTATTAGCCTCATCCTGAACTTATTGAGGACTTTAAACATAACGCCTACCACCAAAGTCGTCAAGCACGTTACTTGAGCTCTGTACATGGAGAAAATGAATGCGATCAGAGCAGAGGAAGTCTGGCGCGTTGACAGAGTAAAAAAGTTAAAGGTCCGACAATGAAATTTGCTGAATTTTCCTGGTTTCTCATAGTTCTTCAGAGCTTCTCAGAAAAATACAAGTGGAATGAGAGTGCCCCTTAGAAATTTTTGAAAGGACAACATTTGTAAACATTACGGATGAGAACTTAGCTTCTGATAGAAGTTCCCATCGTTTTTAGATGAAAAAGGTGGGGTGAAGCAGATTTTATGATTTCAAAAACCTTGGCTTTAACTTCAAGATCAAATTCTGACAGTGATTGTTCTTTACTTTCGATTCATACATCAACTCGTCTCACAAGAAGAGACATAACCTCAAAAGTTGGCTCAGTTGTTATCCTGCGATTTGAGCATGGAATAAATATTTTTTCTTGAGATGATTGGTCAAAATGCAATGATGAAAAAACAACCGGGGAAAAAGTAAACCTAATTCCAGCTTATTTGTATAACTTACCAGTAGATCGGCTTAATCGCTTCTCCCAACCGGAGGGTAACTGTTCGTCTGCCATGATAAGAATTGAAAATTATTTATGAGTACAAATTTTGAAAAGCTGGCACGAAAAACGATTGAAGTACTCAAGGTAACCGCAAAATACCTGAATTATACGTAATTATTTGAGGTAAAGCAGTGCAATACAAAATTCGTGTTCATCCCACGTTTGGTTGACTTGACTTGACTTGACTTGACATAAAAAATGTAAACAACATACACACACACGCACACACGCATCGTAGAACCGCAGAGCCAATCAGAGCTATGCCGGTTTTGGCGCGCAACATGGCTATTTTTCAAATTTCCCCGCGTTTATTTGAAAAACGAAGGCGGGAAAATTTTGCGCGCAATGGAGAGGGGGAGAGAGAGGAAGAAAATATCAAAGTGTATCTGTGGTGCTCAGTCCTGTTACGAGGAATTTTTGCACATGAGCCAGCTTTTGGCCTAAGTCCACAGGAGGTTCGGCTCCTCTACATGAGAGGGGGGGGGAGGTCCCCCTCCCCTTGAAAATGCAGAATTTTTGAGCTTGATGAAGAGAGATTTTTGAGGCATTTCCAAACAGAAAAGCAAGCATGATTTAAGCCTTACAGGCAGCCTGAAACTATGATTTATTCAGCCAACAAGTTTATACATATAGGTAACGCAGCATCCAGATACTTTTTTATTTTCGATTCAGTGATTACGAAATATCCGATTTAAAAAGGAGGAGAGGAGAGTGAGTGGAAACTAAAAATTTACTTAATCAATATCATTCCGATCAAAATATCGAAAGGCTGGGAAAAATTTGATTGAAGTAAAGGTATACAAAGCAACTAACAGCTCGCCGTATGGAAAGCTTGTGCTGTGTGAAAAAATAATCACCACTTATGCGTAAGAGAATTCAAAGGTTTAAGGTTGCATATAATTTTAAATGACAATAATTCCAACCCGCTTTGCAAAAACTTCAAAATCATTAGTTGAAAACTGCTGACGCCGCAAGTTTAAATCATTGCATCAAACACGGTGCGGGGCTAGCGCGCGCGGCACGCATAGTAGCGCCTTACAAGACCGCAGGATACTTCACACATTGCGCGTACAGCAAGGTGCAAGCAGCGCGTAGAACAGCGCCTTACAGGTCTGCATGATACTTCATGCATTGCGCGTATACCACGGTGCGTGCTCAAGTCGTTGAAAAGTCGTATTTTGTGCCGCTACTGCAGTTTTGACCGTTAAGGCCGTAGTTTAAGGGCGCTAAAGCCAGGATTGTATTTCGCAAAAAGATAATTTTTGCAGAATAATTAAAAATTAAGGAGCAGGAGTATTTTAATTAAATAATAAAAGGAAATCAAATCTACAATATAATGCAAAAAAATTTGGAAATTCTCGTCGTGTAAAAACAGAAGATTCGAAAACGCCTTCAAATGAGGCGTCATACCTCATGCGTTCCGGGGAGTTCAAATAGTTGTATCCCTGCGCCTTAGCAAGGCGATGGAAGCTTAATATTGTAGTAGCGTCCCCGCGTTGTTTTTCGGTTTTCCTGTGCCGCTTCTGTAGTTTCGACCGATAAGGCCGTAATTTAAGGGCGCTAAAGCTAGGGTTGTACATCGCAAATGGATAGTTTTTGCAGAATAATTAAAAATTAAAGATCAGGAGTAATTTAGCTAAATAATAAAAGAAAGTCTAATCTACAATATAATGCAAACAAATTTGGAAAATCTCGTCATGTAAATACATAAGATTCGTAAACGCCTTCAATTGAAGCGTGATACCATACGCGTTCCGGGGAGTTCAAATAGTTGTATCCCTGCGCCTTAGCAAGGCGAAGGAAGTTTAATATTGAAGTAGCGTCCCGGTTTGGTTCTTCGGCTTTCCTGTGCCGCAGGCGGACTGGCCATGGGGGGCGGGGAGGCGATTGCCCCCTAACAATTTGCCGCGGAGATCCCGAAGGGGCCCCCGCCGCGAATTTTTTTCGAGTCATCGTTTTTTCCCCGTAATGTTGTAATTTTCTTATCCTTTTCAATCACTAAAAGGCCCCGAATTCCTTGAAAATTTGTCTCTAAGTGACATGGAAGGTCGCCAAAAGCATTTGTGATGAAGGGACCCCCGATGAATCCTGAGAATGGGTTATTTTGAAGTTCAAGTGCTGTAGAATCCAACTCCAATAATGCCTAGGTGTTTAAAAAAGTGTGAAATTTTCAAAATTTACCGGGGGAGGGCCCCCGGACCTTCTTAGAGGGGCCCCCGAACGACAGGAGGGGCCCTTACATTTAGGTCTCATCATAACTTTTCGACTACCCCTGGTATTTTCTTGGTATCAAACAAACCCCGATGTCTACAATTTCCAAACAGTGCACACTTTGAGCTTGCAATCCTAGGATCAGAGTATTGTAGAGATTTTGCAATCCTGTATGTTTTCCGGTGAAAATATTGTTTACGAGTGGAAATTTTTCATGTTGGGATGTTGTTACGTTCTATCATCTGGAAAACCCCGAACTTAGCTAACTTCCAGGGAGGGAGAAGGACATTTTTTTTATCACATATGTGGCAAAATATTCAGGGAGATATTCTTGACATCCTAAATCTCACAAAAATGAACTCTGGCAATCCAACCTAACTTCGGCATTTTTTGCAAAATGACTTTGGTACGCCTATGGCTAATATCGAAAAATTATTGGTGGAGGGGGGGGGGGTTCCACCGCGGCACCATGATGGGCTGATATGTTGGCCGCTTCGAAAGGCCAGTCCAATTCTGATCTTAATTGCAGGGATTCAGAAATTCTTACGATGTTTATTTATTTTTTTTTTTTTGCTGGTGAAAATAATAAAGAAAATAGAATGGACGAAAATATTGGGCCAAAATTTTCTTTGATTTTGTTTGATATTAGTTAGTCGCTTTTGATTAGTTGCCCGGTTTTTAAGATTGATCAAAAGGAAAAATGCTCTGAGGCCATGGCAGAAAAAAATCTTAATTCTTAAAATGAAGGCGTTTCTTATGCATCGTCAATTTTCATGAAAAGGATTACCTCAAGCAGCCGCATTACTCGATCAACTGCGCTGCTACACTCATGAATGGGTTATAAATGATTCAACTTTTTGGCCTCTGAAGCCACTGTAGGAAGTATCTTTTCTAAATGAAGGCGTTTCTGTTACATCGACATTCTTCATCAAACGATTATATATCTCAAGCAATCGCATATCGACGGTGAAAGTCGGCAATCACATAACTCGGTTTGCGACGTCGCAGACTTCCTGTCATACTTTATTTTTTAAATGGAAAACTACTCAACGGCAATTCTTTAAAACTGTCATGATTTTTCTTCTCAATGCGAAGAAAATTCTGCAAAAACTTCAAGAAATAATATCAATTTGTCCTCCTTTAAAAAAATGACGTAGATGCGGAGATTTTCAGACACCGCAAACGAGTTATGTGATTGCCGACTTTCACCGTCGATATCGCTCATCTGGCTGCTACACTCATGAATAGGTTTTCAAATGATGCAACTATTCGGCCTCTGAGGCCACGCTAGGAAGTATCATTTCTAAATGAAGGCGTTTCTTTTGCGCCAACAATCTTCATCAAAAGATTATCTTAAGCAGCCGCATTACTCGCTCAACTGCGCTGCCACATTTGTGAATGGGTTTTGAAATGATGCAACTATTCGGCCTCTCAAGCCACGCTAGGAAGTATTTTTTCTAAATGAAGGCGTTTCACTTGCGTCGACAATCCTTATCGAAAGATTATCTCACGTATCTCTTTTACCACAAAAGCAATAATATAACAATTACTTTAGGCGATTAGTAGACTTGGTATTCACCACGAGCACTCTATAAGAACAACAATGCTTTACTGTCCGTGTTACACGCTATCTTACTTTATACATAATATAAAATCATAAGAGTGATGCAACGTGCGAAACGTATAACGGCCGAGGCGCGTAATGTTTCGGTGGGTTGGACCGCGGAGCAGTCAGGAGAGGCACCCCCTAGTTATTATTAAAATAATAGTTTATTCTAGGCAATAAAATCGACCCTCGTCATAATTATGAAAGCATGGATTGTCATCATATTCCGTGTGGTGTTGAGCTAGGAGAACTGTGAGGCATGAGCCAGAAGCTAACGAGAGACGATGATCTAAAATGAAAATAATCGTGGATCAAGGCCCCGTCTCCGCACCCGCCAAGATCCAACAGGAAATTTCCAATTCCGCACCCGGCTGTGGCCACTCGGGCTCCTGCGGAGGGTGCACCGATGCCCAGCGTTGCAGTCCTGCCGTCGTTGCATTTGCTCCATACAACTTTAGCGCGTCGAGTAATTTTTATTTTACAAGTAAAATAATAATGTGGAGAAGCATAAGACGGTGTAAGTCGGCAATAACATAACTAGGTTTGCAACGTCGCAGACTTCCTGTCATACTTCATTTTTTTAAACGGAAAACTACTCAACGGCAATTCTTTAGAACTGCTGTGATTATTCTTCTCTGTGCGAAAAAATTCTGCAAAAACTTCAAGGAATGATGTCAATTTGTTCTCTTTTAAAGAAATAACACAGAGGTGGAGATTTCCAGACACCGCAAACGAGATATGTGATTGCCGACTTACGCCGCGCCGCGCCGTCGAATATTTTTCAACTAGTGTTGCAATGGCAACATGTCAGCGAGGTGGAACATTTTTAAAGCTTACAAACGTCCGGACATGGGTCCCTTATAAAACCTCCCTTTCTATGCAATTTTTTCAAGGAAATGGAGCAAATGTGTGATTCATAAGCCTGAGAAGATTTTTTTTCAACCATTTTTTTTTCTCGGAGTAACTGCGAGGTGGAACTGTCATTCCTTAAAACTGTTTCATCCAAACACTGTTCGACGTTTCCATTTGAAGTAGAGACATTGTCTTCACGATTGTTTCTATGAAAATTATTATATTTTACCAGTTTTTGTCTCAAAACAACCAGTGCCAAGGCCCAAGAAAACATTTTTGTAGCAGAGAGTCAGAAGTCAGAGCACGATTTGCTCTGAAATCAAGTTGCAGAGGAGCCAAAAAGAGGTGTATAAGACGGCCATTATCGAGTTATTACCCCGGCACGGGTCAAAAGAATTTGAAATGGATTTATTATTTGAGACTGACAATGAGAGTGATAGAATTTCAAATAATGGAGTTTGCGAAGCGCAGGTGCGGAATTTCGATTCCCGTCCAAATCATGCACGGTGATTGAAGCATACGAAATG